CCTGGATCACATCCCTAGGGTTTGCTGCCAAATTCCAGGGGGGTCAAGGAGCTCAGCTCTGGGGACAAGGCTGAGTCCCATCTCTGTGGGACCAGGATAACACACCGTGCACACCAGTTCCCATGGGTAGGAAGGACACAGAAATGAGCTTCCTGCATCCTCACATCCAGTTCTGCCAGACAGCAGGAGAGGTGGGGGGAGGGGAGAGTTTGCTTTAGTATCCTTTAAAAATTAAAAGTCATTAAATGTTTTAAATTATTTAAAAGAATTAAAAATTAAAAATAATTAGGAATTAAAAATCTATCTGTAATGAGCCTTACACACTGAAAAACCACAGATGTGGGAATGCCAGCCTTGATCACGTCATAGCCCATGAAGTTGCCTGCCACAGGGATGGCACCCGTCACAGGCACCAGAAATACAGAGGGAAGAAGGACAGCTTCCTCCAGGACCAGATGTGTGGAGGGCAGGGGGTGTGAGGGCAGCTGCCACGCTATGGCTCCGTCCAGCTGTGGCCCATTCACACATGACTGTTACTGATGCTATTGACAAAAAAAGAAGCCAGGGAGTATCTTGTGATTCCCAGGCAAGAGGCAGCTTGCTAACACGCAGGCCTCACGGAGCACAGACAGAGCACATCAAATCCCCGTGAAGTCTACCAGCAGCATCTTTCATCCATCACCCTGGGCTGTCACATTGCAAAGAACATTAACACAAGAGCCTTTCCAGGGAGTTCAGCAGCTGCTGGTGTCACAACGATGTCCACACTCCAGTCAGACAAACCCACGGTGTCCAGCCTCCCTCTCCTTCCACCTGAGGTAACAGTGCCAGCCTCCCCCACACCACTGCAGTGTCTCCAGCTCTCTGGCTCATAGCAGCGGGCTCAGCTGGAATAACAACCCCAGTCCCTGTTTTGCTGATGCTTCCTCTGCTAATTCATTTGGCTTGCGTTGACGCACACAGGGCCCCTGGGGCACATTCCCAAAGGATATGACATGGGAATACACAACCATCATTTCGAGGTCCCATTGAGAGTGGACCAGATAAGCCACTTTCAGACAGCCTTGCCAGTTGAGAGCAAGCTCCCAGACACACAGAACTCTGCACCCTGAAGGATTTAGACTCAAAGCCTGGCTCTGGTGATAGCTTGCTGCGTTCATTTCTTCTAAGTTTCAGTTATACCTGCAAAGTGGAAAATAGAAAATGCCCAACAGCTAGAATCTGTGTGTTAAACCTGTATCCGTTGGGGAGCTGAAGAGATGGCTCAGCGGTTAAGAGCACTGACTACTGTCGCAAAGTACCAGGGTTTGATTCCCAGCACCCACATGGTGGCTATGAACCGTCCTTAACTCCAGTTCCAGGGGAATCCAATGCCCTCTTCTGACCTCCGCAGCACTGCATGACACAGTGCACTCACATACATGCAGGCAATACACTCATACATATAAAATAAAAATAATAAATAAAATGTTTTTTAAAAATTAAAATATTGGGGCTGGAGAGATGGCTCAGCAGTTAAGAACACTGACTGTTCTTGCAGAAGACCCAGGTTCAAATCCCAGCACCTACACAGCAGCTAACAACTGTCCATAACTCCAGTTCCAGGGGATCCAACAGCCTCTTCTGTCCTCCGCGGGCATTGCGCGACATGAGTGCCCTTACCTACATGCAGGAATAGCACTCATACACATAAAATAATAATAAAATATTTTTAATTAAAATATTGATGATAGGGAATCAGGATGCAGACCACTCTGGTAACCTCTTCAGAGGATGGTGTGATAAGAATAGGAGGTAGGAATTGGCTAGGCAGTTAGAGTAAAAAAGGCCCCAAAGAAAAGCAGCCAGTTTCTTGGCTAAAAGTCAAAATGCTGTTCCAAAGGCAAAAAATGTCAAAAGTATGTGGGAGCTCTTATCTAATCCTTAAAAGATTTTAGGGTTACCTCTTCAGAGGGGGGAATGTTAGAGTAGCAAAAAGCCCCATAAAAAGAGATACAGAAAGAAAGGAAGAAAGAAACAAAGAAAGAAAAGAAAGGAAGAAAGAACAAAAGAAAGAGAAAGAAAGAAAGAAAGAAAGAAAGAAAGAAAGAAAGAAAGAAAGAAAGAAAGAAAGAAAGAAAGAAAGAAAGAAAGAAAGAAAGAAAGAAAGAAAGAAAGAAAGAAAGAAAGAAAGAAAGAAAGAAAGAAAGAAAGAAAGAAAGAAAGAAAGAAAGAAAGAAAGAAAGAAAGAAAGAAAGAAAGAAAGAAAGAAAGAAAGAAAGAAAGAAAGAAAGAAAGAAAGAAAGAAAGAAAGAAAGAAAGAAAGAAAGAAAGAAAGAAAGAAAGAAAGAAAGAAAGAAAGAAAGAAAGAAAGAAAGAAAGAAAGAAAGAAAGAAAGAAAGAAAGAAAAGAAAGAAAGAGAATACACGAAGTTGTCAGAAAAAAGTGATAGGGCGATATGGGAGGTGTTGGAGGGGAGGGAGTGGGTGTGGGTTTGATCAAAACACCTTATACACATGTATGAAATTCTCAATAAAGTTTTTTTAAGTTAAAAAATTAAAATATTGAATTTGAGGACAAAAAGAACTGTGAAGATCATTGTAAATACGTCCAACTCTACCGAAAAATAAATGTCTGGCAATTAGAGTGGAGCCCAGGTCAGTGCCCAGACAGGTGCTTAAAAATGCAGCCTGAGAAGCCTGAAAAGCAGCAGAACATTCCAGCAGCACTAGGCCTCACTAGTTTTCTAAAAGACTAATAAAGTAGACTCCGTGATCGTCAGCATTCTTTCAATTCAAAAACCCTAGTGAAGTCAAGATCAAAAGAAGGCCTGTGTAAAGCCAAAGCCCTTCGAAGGATGTACAGAAGGCTTTGCCTTGTGTTTACCTGAAATCTGCCCACTTTGGAATCCCTGCCTACCATCCCTGGGAAGGCTTCCCACCGGACACCATCACAGGAGCTCATCAATTGTATTTCACATCATGAGTTACAAGTCTGGGGAGACTTTGAGGTCTAAGAAGAGGCCGGGATGTCTGGGGGAGGTGGGTGACAACAGACGGCTCAAAAGGCCCAGCATTGCACCTCGCCAGGTGATTTACTCTTAATCTGCTGGCAACTTGAATGGGTGCCAACCGCTAACCACAAGGGCTCTGAGCCTGCAAGTGCAGGTGCCTCCCGAGTGAGACTCCCAAGTGGGCAGAAGGACAGCCAGGCTGAAGGCGCAGACAGGCTGGTGACCAGACCCCTCTTGCCTTAGTGACTATCTGGGTTGGGCCATTTGGGCCACCCTACACCCTGTTTCCTGTCTGGGATGAGGACGGTTCTCCACAGTGCATTTGGAAGATGGAGCTGAGGAAATGAAGGCACCAGAACAGGCTGGAATTTGGACTCCTGGGCTGTGGTCTCCTGGTTACTAATGCCTCATTGCTTAACTATTGTGTGCCCAGTGTCCCAGGCACCAAACAGCCTTACAAATATTTACATGCAGTGTGTGTTGCGATGCTCAATTAAGTGCAGCAGTGACGTACTCTCAGAGCCTCGGAGGAAAGGTGTGCGGCAAGAGCCAGGGATTATTAAAGCTTCTAACAAGTCAGCTCACGGAAGCAACAGCCTGTGGAGCTTTCCACTGCCCAGGGGCTTTGCAGATCAGAGCCCAAAATCTAGGGAAAAGCTCCACCCAAGGGACACTGTCCAAGGGTGACGACAGTGACTAGGCAAAGAACTTGTGGGAAAACGAACAAAGGTGGGCAGAGGAGAAGCAGAAGAGATCCTTCAAACTTGGCGGCCAACAAGAGTGAGATGGGTAAAACAAGGGACCAAGTTTCAGTAGGCAGAGGCCCAGAATATGGACTTTGGTGGTGAGACACACGGGCACTCACTCGGCGTTCAGTGGATAAGCATAGACATTAATGCGACTCTCTACAAACCATCCAGAAAGCATCTGAGAAAAGTCCCGGGTGGGGTCCACACTCCACACCCTCCTTGGACTAGATTAACGTCTGTCCACAATATATTCAGAGATAACAGTACACGTGTGAGTGGATGGATGTCACAATGTTACAGCAGTCAAAATTAGCAAGGAAACTAATGCCCCCCCCCAAAAAAATATCATACCACAAATAACACGGGAAGAGTCGCCATATAATGTGTTGGTACCCTATGCATTATCACATTATGCTAAGACATTATTTAAACACCTACATGTACAGCTACACATACGCACACACACACACCCCATACACAGATACACACGCACAATAACAATTTCATTGTAAATGTATACATGCACCCTTATACATACACATGCGAGACAGTGTTGATTTCTCTTCTACACATCTTCCTCTATTCTCTGCACTCTAACAGAATGTTATTTCAAGTCTACAGCAATGTAAACATGAAGAAATTACACAGGATGGGGTTGGAGTGATTGTTCAGTCGGTCAAGAACTTGTCTGGCAAGCATGTAGCCCTGAGTTCCATCCTCAGCACCCACAGTAATCCCACATTAAGCACACTGATTTGATCATTGCACAGTATGTACATAGATTAAAACATCACATCTCATTATGTATGCAAAACTGTTATATGTCCATTAAATAATAAATGTCATTTTCCTCTTTAAAAAATAAATAAATAAAAGCCAGACACAGTAGTGTATGTTTGTAATGCCAGCACTGGGGAGGTTGAAATGGGCAGGCCCCCAGGCCTCACTGGCCAGCCCGCCTAACCTACATGGTGAGCTGGATTGAGACCAATGAGAGACCCTGTCAAAAAAATCAAGATGGGTGGTCCCTGAGGACCAAGCCGAGGTTGTTCTATAACCACCACACACAAGCTCACACATAAGCTCACACATGTGAGCTGTACCTGTATACACATGGATACCCATCCATGTGCACATGAACATACATAGAGTTTTTCACAGGATTTTCTTGGTGACCTGGCCTCGGGAGTGGCCTCTCCTATGGAGGAGGGCAGTGAACTCCAGGCAAGCTCTCACACTGTTTCTCTTTTCTGCCTTAGGTTGTGGCCACACATCAGTAGCACCAAAGGTAAGTCATGGCCCTGTGTCCTCTCACCTGGCCTAGTGGGCTTTGCTTTTTTCTTTGCTGATTTTTCTTTCTTTGTGGTACAGTGAACGGGCAGCGGCCATCTCTTCCTGCACACTATGCCTGAGGCACTGTGGGGAAGACTTAGTCAGCTGGGGAGTCCTTCAAGCAAGTGGATGCTTGGGCCTCTACAATTGACTTGGGCTAGGCTTGTCACAGAGCGATGGGGTTTTAAGAGAGCAAAGCAAAGACCCAAGAGCAGCAACTCAAAGACCAAGACAGAAGCTCTGGGCTTCTTGCAGCCAGGCTCGAGAAGCCTCGCAGCATCTCCTCCAGCAAAGTTCTGAACTGCAGACAAGTCATAAGAGCCTAGACTTCAGGGAAGGAGAGTTGCACTCACCCTGGATGGCTTTGTTTCTGTTGATGGAAACACCAGGCTTTACCATGGCATTAGCTGTGTTTCTGCTGAGACACACACCAGGTGACATTAGCTACTCAATGCATTCTTCCCTCCAGCTGCCCCCAGGGCAGAGCTGGTCTGTCAGGCCCAGGAATCTGGGAGCCACAGGTCAGATGAACCTGGTTCTCTGTTCATTAGCTGTGCAGCCTTGGACAGACCATCTGTCATTCTGAGCCAGAGATTTTTCATCTGTGAAATAGGCGTGGACCTAAGTGACAGAGATGCAACTTCTCATTAACATTCAGTCAACTAAACTCTATCCCGTAGGCTTCCCCAAAAACTGTGGGTAAATGGGTGGTTCCGACGTCCCGACATGACTGAGTGGATTCAGCCAATATTTCTACTGTATCCCTTTCAGAGAGAATTTCCTGGCATTGGGCATTTAATAGGATCTCATTACAGGATAAAGAAAAGCATGTGCTGTTTGTCTCAGAGGGTTATGATTTCAGGGAAAGTCCTATGGAACTTCCCTGCAAAGCTGGGCCCAGAAGGAGCTAGAAAATTTGAGTCCTGGGCTAGAGGACATGTGAAAAGCAATGCACGGGGATTCTTCACCCACCAGATGCTTGGTAAAGCTCATCCACAGAGCAGGTTGCAGCATGAGCCTTGCACTCAGCATGGGCCAGAACAGAACAGCACAGAAGCCAAAGCAGAGTCCCAAAGTGGGAGCCTGGATAGCATTCAATGCCCAGTGCTCACCTTCCCAGCACCCTGTTCAAGTTCCCTTCCAGGTCGGGCAAAGGGTGAGCCCTCCCAAGGCAGATAGCTCCAAAAGGCACAGGAGCCTTTGGTCTCAAATACACCGTCTACTTCCCCCCACTCACTCTCTCCCATCATCCACTGGAATCCTAGAGGAAACTGGAAAGTTCTAAGGGGCACTGTTGCAGCGTATTAGCTGGTTGGTAGCTTGGAAACCTTGTGAGGGAAACAGCTGTCCTACCTCTTCCTTTTGGGGTAAAAGCAAAGAACTGACAGGTGGGTGTTCTGTTTCATTAACAACATCCTAGAAACACAAGAAAGGAAAAGAAAGCAAATCAAGTGCCCTGTGTCCTGCACGTGTGTGTGTGTGTGTGTATAAACTGAGCTAGAAATGCCCAGGCACGTGCATGTACACTCTGCCAAAACAAAGTACCAAGTCACGATGCCCCAGCCTGTGCATATGGTGAGCCGCAGCAGATATGTAAAGCATCCTAACATACCGGATATGGCCAAGGGCATGCACAAGAGGAGCGAGAGCTTTCCTCAGGGCTTCATGGTGTTTGCATTTGTGACCAAAGGATTCATTGAAAGCATGGTGGGCATCTGTGTGAGAGAATATCATGCAGCCATTTAAACTGACACTGGGATTGTACAGTTACATGGGATTGTTGACAGTCCGCTATTTGTGAAACCACAGGCAGGAAAACCATGTGCACCTCGTGAGGAAATGCGGTAATACAGTGTGTATCTGAGTGTCTGTTTGTATCTCTGTGTGACTTCTCTTAATGTATCTGTGCGTGTCTCTCGGTATATATCTGTGTCTCTGCATGTATTCGAGCATATGTCTGTGTACATCTTTGTATCTCCATGTGTGTCCCTCTTAATGTATCTCTGTGTATGTGTCTGGGTGTCTGTGTTCTAGTTTGCTTTCAACTGCTGTGACAAAACACTCTGACCAATATCATCTTGGGGTGGAAAGGGTTTATTTTAGCTTACATCTCCTGGGTTCATCACTGAGGGAGCCCAAGGTAGGAACTCAGGGCAGAAACCTGGAGGCAGGAGCTGATGCACAGACCATGGAGGAGTGCTGCTTACTGGCTTGTTCCCCTGTCCCGTGCTCAGTCTGCTTTCTTACATAATAGAGAGCCACCTTCCCACGGCTGACACCACCCACAGTGGGCTGGGCCCTCCCACATCACTTAAGCAAGAAAATGCCCCACAGACATGGCCACAGGTCAGCTCGATGGAGGCAATTCTCTAATGAGGCTCCCTCTACCCAGTGGATCAAGTTGACACTAAAGCTATACAGCACAGTCTGTGTATATCTGTGTATGCGTGTGTGTCTGTGTGTGTGTGTCTCTATCTCTGTGTATGTATCTGTATATCTGTGAGTCTCTCTCTCTCTCTCTGTGTGTGTGTGTGTGTGTGTGTGTGTGTGTGTGCGCGCGCACGTGGAGGGAGTGGAGGGGGTGGATTATGTGGCTACAGTCAATATGTATAACAGTTGTGCTGGTGAGTTGATACTGTAATGATTTTTAGTTTCTTCTTTCTTTTGTGCATATGTGTGCCTTACAATTTTCCCATGGAAATACACATTTTTATGTACTAAAAACAATCTTATCAAAAACTAAATGCTTAAAAAACTACCTCAGGCCTGGAAAAGGTAGACACACACCCATATGTATCAGAGCAGTCAATGTGACTGCCTTCCCAGAAGTGTACATTCCGGCCCACATGATGAACTTGTGAGCTTTCTCCTTCCACTGACTAAGGAATGAAGTCAGGGACAACCACTCTATAAAGTCGGCCCCTCTGTCGTAAGCCCCGGGAGTAACTCTCAAAATACAGAAAAAAAAAAAAAAAAAAAAAAAAAAAAAAAAAAAAAAACCACAATAGAGATATTGGCTGATTCGATTAAAGAGACAAGAAATTTCATTTTGTCCAGGAACATTTGATTTTTTTCCTTCTAGTTTTCTAAATAAAAGGAGTGCTAAGGGTTGGTTTTTCTCCTCACTTAAAAAGAAATAATACTTTTAAGACTAGGTGAACTAATGCATACAGAATCTGTGAGCCTCTCCTGCCCCCTGCTGCTACATCATAGACACTGCAGTACCTGAGCTAAATTGCCCGCGGTGGAGACAGCAGGAAGGAATAGGGGTGTGGCATGGTCACAGCCATCCATTCGGCCCATTCACCACTGGGTCCCTACGTGATACGCGACAATCAGTTCCACACACATATTTCTTAAAGAGAAATAGAACCGCAAAGTCTGGAGGACTCAGCTAGGCTGGGGAGCTGGCACTGTGCTTTGCAGATGAAGAAGTGAAGGGATAGAGAGGTGACTTTCCCTCCCCTCTCCTCTCTCCTCCCTAAGGTGTGCCAAACATCTTATAAGACCAATTTTATTATACTCATAAATATACAATAAACTGAGCCTAAGAGAAGTTAGTTAGGTTGGCAGAAAGGCAGCACAGTAGAATTCAAAACTGCCACGATATACCCAGGGTTGTACAGCACACAGCTTTGGACACAGACTTTCATCCATAAAATGAGGGGTCACCAGCTGCTGCAAGCCAGTGAATCCCAGAGCTTCACAACAGGAGGAGACCCGGCTCAAAGGACCTCTGAGAAGAACCAGCAGGTGGATAGCAACAGAGTTGTATGCTGGGAAAGCCACGGGTGTAACTTCCAAATGAGCACCACAGAGCAGGAGCTCCTGTCCTGGGACTGAGAGCAGCTGTAGACAGGCTGAGAAGGACCTGGCCGTGAAGCTGGACTTGAAAAGACAAACACAGAGCCCAGCACCTTCTTTGTGGGCACTGAGCCACGGAATCACACACTCTCTAGAAACTGTGAATGTATTTTCTCTGGACAACATGATATGCTGAAACTTCACAACAGTTACTTAGGATGCCACTGCAGAACCATTCCCTGGGTAACATTAATTAGCCAAGGTTATAAGTGATGGAGCTGACCTGGAGCCATGTGGTCAGAAAGTGGCAGGCCAGGATTTGCACCTAGCAATTCATGTTAGCCACCATGAAATACATTTGCCTTCTTACTAGTTTTTATTAGTGTGACCTGGCTATATTTGGCAAACTCCAAAGCTCACCCCTCCAAGGAGATTAAGCATTTAAGGCTGAAAGACACTTCAAAATGTCATGGAGGCTTAACCGTTAGAAATATCTTTTCCCTTGCCTAAGGAAAATCCAGAAACAACAAGACCAAGACTCATTGGCTCCTGCAGGTCCTCAGAGGCCCAGATCCACCCCCTCATCCTGCGCCCCCACCCTTGTATTGCCCTCAACCCTGCAGCCTACAGTAAAGATGTGTGTGCACACATAGGGGGAAGAGAAGAAAAAGAATTGTGACCTAAGAACGGCTGCTGACAGCTGGGAGCTGGATCTCTGCCTAATTTCCATCAATCAGAACTTGCACTCACGGTCACACTAGTACCACATGGCCAGGGACTGACCACAAGTAGCAGAATGGATCCAGGAGACTCCCAGCTGCCTGTGCTAGGGTGCTTAGACACGGGCAGACAGCATTCACCAACACCTGTTTGACTGAGTCCAGCCAGCAGCCTGCGGCCCGGGAATCAACCCTAAGCATTCATGTAACACCCCATTTCCCCAGTCTCCTGTAACTGAAATGAAGACAGAAGCTGGTTTTGTGCAGGGAGCTTCTCTGGGAAATCTTCTAGCTAGCCTCACTTCCTGAAGGAACAGAGAGCTCTAAATCTCTGAGGTGTCCTATTTTGCTGATCTTCTCACATTACATAAGCATAATCTTGTCCTGGGGCCTTCTGGGAACTCTTTCAGTATGTGGTCTCTTCCTAACCCAT